TGGTGGATAAAAAATTTGATTGATCTCTCATCAATGTCCACAAAAGCAAAAGGATAAGTCCAAAATTTTGATCAGAAGTAGAGAGTTGAAAGTATAATCATTTTAGGGAAAATAGTTGTGTGATTTGTTAACTAACTTTGAATTAATGCATTATAAGCTTATAATCTGTTTGGGGGAAGTTTTCCCAGAAAAGCCTGCAAATGTTCTAACATGAGTTGTATATCTCCCAGAAGGTTTTAAAAACCAGATATTTAGTTCTGATATCATCTTATATCTTCAGTATGTTAGGTTTCAAAGCTGATACTAAGTAATAGAATTTGCCTCATTTATTAAAATTTTAGTTGTATTACTTTTCATTTCATGGAAAGCTTGTAAGATATACATGTATATATGTACATACAAGTGTGTATACACATATATATGCATTCTGAACTGAGCCACGAGGCACAGTCAATTTATTTATTAATTAATTCATTCATTTATTGACTTTGGGTGGGTCACACCCAGTGATTCTCAGGGGTTACTCCTGACTCTGCACTCAGGACTCCTGACTCTGCACCCCTGGCAGTGCTTGAGGGATCATATGGGATGCCCAGGATCAAACCTGAGTTGGCTGTGTGCAAGACAAAATGCCCTACTCTCTGTGCTATCACTCTGACCTCTGTAACTTCTATTTTTAAGAGCATTGATATTCATGGGCCCGAGCAATAGCATAATGGGTAGGGCATTTGCCTTGCAAGTGGCCAACCTCGGTTCGATTCCTCTGCCCCTCTCAGAGAGCCCAGCAAGCTACCTAGAGTACTCCGCCTGCATGGCAAAGCCTGACAAACTACCCGTGGCATATTATATATACCAAAAACAGTAACAACAAGTCTCACAATGGAGACTTTATTGAGAAAATTGGAGGACAGTGCTACAGTGCTACAGTGCTATTGATATTCATGCAGAACTTTATTTAATACAATTGAAGATAATTGTCATGGTCAGAAGGGATCTGCTAATCCATTAACCTTGTTTAACAAATGAGAAAGCTATAGATGGGGAATGGAATGTGGAGAGGTAGTATAAGGACTTTGATTTGCCTTAAATGTACCTGATCCTGGATTGATCCCTGGCACCAGGTAAGGCCAACTAGGAAGGGTCCCTGAGCATAGAGCCAGAAAGAAATAAGGACTGATAATAGCTGGGAGAAAGGGGAGGTGGGAGAAGCTAACCTACACTTCTGAATTTTTTGTCTTTACATTTTTAGTCATTTGATTTGTATATGTTTACTAGATCTTGAAAAAGTTTGTTTGGTCCTTCCTAATTAAAAGTTCTTTAAGTCCCGTACTTGTGAGTAGCTATAGAGGCTACTATCTCAGTATTTTGCAAGTTGAGACATTGATTATTAATAAAAATTAATTAAAAAGTATAAAATTGTAATAACTAAGTTAGACTTGAGCTTTTTTCCCATTACATTTTAAAATTCAATATTGTTTGCGTAAACGAGTCATGTAAATTTCTCTAGCTGTGTCTGTTATTTAGAAGAAAGTAAAAGGTTTCCTATGAACAAATGAAAGCCAGGGAAGTTTCAGAAGTAAGTACTGTTTTCATGTACACAAAGTCACACACACTCTGCCTTACTTAACCACATGCACACTAATCTTGTGAGTTTTCCATACACTTCACTTCCGAAGTGAAGTGAAATGTAGAATTCAGTCATGTTCTTTATAACCTTGCTTCCTAAACTGTGGATCAATCTTACATAGGATCATGTAACTGAAAGGGACAGGCAGGGGTTAGAATACTGAACAAAAAATGTCAACAGTGAAAGGTTTGTGAATGTAAAACAACCAAAATTTAACTTAAAATTAACTCTGGGGCAAGAAAGAAAGTTCAACGGACTGATCACACATTGATGTAGGATGGGGGACAAGGGACAGTTTGATTTCAACACTCCATGATCTTTCAAGCACCGCTAAGAGTGATCCTTAAGTGATCCAGTACAAGCCACTGAACACTGCTGAATATAGTGTGAAAACACAGCAGAACATAACAAAAATAATAATGTAAAAGAATAAACTATGGATTCTGAGATACTTATGGTGCCCAATATGTTCCTTTTTTGGGCAAAAAAGGTTTAGAAGCTTTGAATTATAAGAGTAAATCTATTCCACTATCGAGGCCTTATGTTCTGCCCTCAAGATTTAATAATGCACCCCTACCAGCACTGCTGATATAATCATTAAATGAGGGAGAAGAGAAAATTCAAACATGCTCAGGCATTGCAACTTGTAGCCAGCACACATGTTTTAGTATGCTGTGTTGGTTTCATAGTTCAAAACAGATGGCCTGCTCTGCTCTGCCCAAGTCCAGGGAATCATTCAGGGATACTTAACACCATTAGAATCTTGGTTTCTGCCTCACAATAGGCAAGTTTACTTATACAAAGTAAAAGTAGATTTACGGTCATTTTCAGTTATAAAGTAAGGTTCCATGGTCTGAAATTCTCCTATCTTCTAATGTGTTCTTTGTTTTATTTTTTCCATTTATTAGAAATCATCAGAAACTTGATATCTGTATTACTGTTTTAAAATTTCTATATATGTTTCATTTGCTTTTAAGTCATCTAAAATAGTCTCCCACATTTTAATAAAAATTATTGGATCTTGGAAGATCCATCAACACTACTTCTAAAGGAGAATGTTTCTGCCTGTGAGCTAAAGCATATTATTAATTGCTAAATGCTTTATTTTAAAAACATTGAAGGATGCTGTTCTAAAGTGTTGATGGGTCTGGGGAAAAGGAGGTTACCTTGGAAAAGGTTAAAAACAAAATCTCTAGTGGCTGGAGCAATAGCACAATGGGTAGGGAGTTTGCCTTGCATGCGGCCGACCCAGGTTCGATTCCCGCATCCCATATGGTCCCCTGAGCACCACCAGGAGTAACTCCTGAGTGCAGAGCCAGGAGTAATCCCTGTGCATCGCCGGGTGTGACCCAAAAAGCAAAAAAAAAAAATCTCTAGAGGCCACATTCTAACAATATATCTCAGTGTGCTATGTACATTGTGAGACGATATACCATGAGAATAGTGTTTTCCATCTTTGCAGAGTACATAGTCAACAGTATCTAAAAGTCTGACTTCTCCTAAAAAGTCATTAATGGAAAATAACTTTGTCTGATCTTGTCTAAGTTTGGAAAACCTTGCCCTTCTCATAATCTTCATTCCCATCAGAAAGATGACTCTGGGCAGGCTCATGAAGACCCAGAAGGGGAGGGTAATTCAGGTAGAGGTGAAGAATATGTGCAAAATTGAAAGCATAAAATTTCATGTTTCAGTTTTCTTCCCACATAACTGCTAAAATTGGAATCAACATGGTTGGTGGTTAGAAAAAGTTGAGTTAGTGTTCTAAAGGAATTCTATTCTTTTTCTTCAATCACTCCAGTTTTCTGTGTAAATGCAGGAAACGGGAGATATCAGAAAGTGCCTCCTTTCTATTTTTCATTTATTTATTTTAAATTTATAATTTGCATTATAAGATTTGTCCACACATGATCTTAGTAACCAATTTTGAGAACCTAATTTAACCTTTGGTATATATCCTGACATCCAGAATCTTGATGACTGATTAGTACCTAGAGTCCAGAGTCAAAAGCATCTAAGTTTATCCATCACTCATCTTTTGTTAGCAGTCAGTTTAGGAATGCCGGAGACTTAAGAACCTATTCACAACACCTATGCTTTAATTTTAATTTATTTGCATTACTTAAATTATTTTTAAAAATTTTTTTGCGGGGGGTGACTTTGAGTCACAACGATATGTGTTTAGGCCTTATTTCTGCATCTGTATGCAGGTATTACTCCTGACAAGGCTGGGAAACCATATGTGGTACCCAGGTCAAATCCAGGTTGGCCATGTGTAACACAAGTGCTTTACGCACTGCACCATTTTTCTGGCTCCTAATTTATTTATTTTTATTGAAATAGCACTTCATTATAGCAGTAATTAAGTTTCAAGTGGGCATCACTGAAAATAAACTTTTGTGTGTATCACATAACACTTACCAGTGAAAGTTCAATCTATCCTTCACTATTTAATTGTCCCCTTTATCCTCTTTTTCCTATTACCCCTTGTCCTCTCTTCTTGTAGCCACTAATAAATAGGTATTATATCTCCTTTTAGAATATAGCCTTGTAATTCAATTTAGTTTAGTTCATTTGTGTTTTTCTCCATGAACCACAAGAGTGAAATCTTTCACCCAATATTTCAGTCTTTCATCTGGTATTTATTTAAACATGATATGTTTTAGGTCAGTGGTCTTCAACTGTATATTCACATACTGCTGTTAGTAGAAATTTTCTCCCAATCCTTATAAAGTTGTCGCTGCTTGGTCCATCCATTTTGTCACAAATGACAGAATTTCACCACCTTTTTTATAGCTGAATAGTATTTCATTATGCACATGATATAACATTTCATCATATATAATATATATTTTATTTTGTATAAGTATATGTACATATATATCACACCTTTATTCATTCAGTAGGCTTGTTTCTACATCTTAATTTTTGAAAATAATGCTTTGGTAAATATGGAAGTTCACATATTTCTTGCAATTAGCATTTTATAATTTGGTGGTAAGTACCCAGAATGGTACTTGATTGGCATGATATTCAATTTTTTAAGTGCTTTGAGGAATTACCATACTGTTTTCCTTAATATATGCCCCAGTTTATGTTCCCATCAACAGTGCATGACAGTTCCCTTCTATACACATCTTCAACAACTATTATTTCTGGGGTTTTGAATAACAAGTATTCTCACAATAAAAGAAGGCATTTATTTCAAAAGTTCTGTAACTCTAATGAAAAAGGTTTCTTCAACTGGATTATAGTGTGTGAATGAGTAGACAACCTCCATAGAAGGGAGTAGCCCCAGAGAGGGAGATGCCCAATCTTGTTAGGCCAAGAGAAGAGAGAAGGTTCTACTAACACTTCTGTCCTCTTTTTCTTGCAGAGAAGTTCACGCAGAGGCCAAGGCCACAGTGCATGAGCTGTCATCTGAACACGTGTCCACCCACGCTTATATCTGAAGAATCACAGAGTGTGGTATGTCAATGTGAATGGCCCTGGGCACTTGTATTGGGACTATAGGGAATGCTGCCTAAAACCAAGTAGGACTTGGAATGCAGTGACTTCTGATATCAAATTTGGCCAATGAAGAGAGGCATTTTTCTTCCAGTCATTTCTTGCTGAATCTGTATAGTTAGATGCTTCAGCCTTATAATATGTTGACTAAATATACATACATTAAACTGATACATTAACTATAACTTTTCATATCTTTTTATGGTTAAGAACATTTTATAATCTGGAGCTGGAATGATAGTATACAGTTAATCTTAACTTGCCTTGTATGTAGTGGCCTACATTGGTTTAATCTTGATGCTGAATATGATTCCCCAACCATTGCCAAGAGCTATCCTTGAATGCAGAGCCAGGAAGAAGACCTGAAATACCATTGAGTGTGATAAACAAAAAAAGGGACGTTTTATATAAATTTAGAATTTTTGAAACAAAGTAAATTAAGTGAAAAACATTAATCAAAAAGCCCATTTGTGCTTCTACACTTTGTTCTTAATTTCTTTGGTTTAATTCCTATTATTTATATGGTACCTTTTAGATTTAAAAATGCTTCTAGTAAGATATTTTCATTAGAGCTTCACAAGACCCTTAAATGTCATTCACTGGTGAAGATCCCAGATTGAGAGTCTGAGTATAAATTATATATTCATGTGTTGATGTAATATGTGTATGACAGACTTAAGGTTAGAGGAAGAGGAACGTTATCTTAAATCTATTCTTATTCTGTGAAATTCCTCTTATTGATTTATATACAAAGGGGGAAATGGTTGCTCTCAATATTTACTATGTATTGTGAGCTTGTAATAATTTCGGGTTTTTTTAGACTTGAGAAAACTTATTTTTTTTTTATTTAATCACTGTGACTTACTGTTACCAAACTTTATTTTTTTTTTTAATTTTTATTAGTGAGACACCATGAGGTACAGTTGTAGACTTAGAAATTTTTATGCTTGGGTTTCAATTATACAATGATCAAATACCCATCCTTCCACCAGTGGCCATTTCCCACCACCACGGATCCCAGTATCCCTCCCATCTCCATCCCCCTAACCCCCCTTCCCACCCTGCCTCTGTGGCAGGGCATTCCATTTTGTTCTCTCTCTCCTATTGGGTGTTGTGGTTTGCAAAAGAGGCAATGAGTTACCAAACTTTAATCTTGAGTTTTAGTCATACAATGATCAAACATACATCCCTCAACAAGTATACATTTTCCACCACCACAGTCCCCAGTATCCACCCCATCCCACCCCTCCGACTGCCTCTTTGGCAGATAATTTTCTCTTACTCTCTCCCTACTTATGGGCATTATGGTTTGCAATACAGATAATGAGAGGCTGCAATTTGGTCCTTTATCTACTTTCAGCACACATCTTCTATCCCAAGCAATCCCTCCAACCATCATTGATTTAGTGATCGCTTCTCAATCCCAGCTACCTTCTCCCCAGCTCATAAGGAAGGCTTCTAACCATGGAGCAATATTCCTGGCCCTTGTCTTAACTGTCTTTCGGTGTCAGTCTCATATTATGATATTTTATATTCTGCAAATGAGTGCAGTCATTCTATGTCCGTCCCTCTCTTTCTGGTTCTTTTCACTTAACATGCTACCCTCCGTGACCATTAACTTAGAGTTTGTAATAATCTCTGACTCAGCATTTTAACCCTCACTGTATCCACATAAAAGAAGCTTCACTACCTACTTAAACATGAGGGTGCTGGGAATCAGGAAGGTGTGACAGCCACTCCAGATCACACACATTTCAGAGAACTCTCTTAGAATTGCAGCCTACTTTTGTCATCATAATTTTCTTTCCCAGGGTGGCAAATGCTTGGCAGGCATTTGTATTCGTTTAAAAATCTTTTTTGGGTAGTTCCCCAAGCACTTCCAGCAGTGACCCTTAGAACAGAGACAGGAGTAATCCCTGAACACTGCTGGTGTACCCCAAAACAAGTACAGCAAAAATAATCTTTGAGATGTGATCTCATTAATTTCCTATACGATGAATAAAGAGCATTGCCTTAACCAGGAAGTAGGTGGGATGGTCTACAAAATCCTGTCCCGGAGCTGCTACAGGAGCTTCATACTCAGGTTTTCTGGACTCTTGTTTTCTCAACCAACGATGAACAGGTTGAACTGAATAATACTAGTGATAAATGAGTATAATAATAATGCTCTCACAGATAGTACTCATATATATTCTTTTGAATACACTTCTCTTATTTTTGTAGGGAGGTGGGGTTGACCTCTCAGGTGATGATCAAGGGACACAAAGCTACTCCTGCTAATTCTTGGCCAAGTGGGTTGATTAATCAATGTTACGGCCTAAGGATGCACTGGTGCCTGGGCCTGTGGTCCCAACAAGGATCTGGGCAACACTGTACTTGAAGTCATCCAAGGTCACACCCAGTGACCTCCGGATTGCTCCCAGTGGAACATATGATACAGAGGATCAAATCAAACTTGTTTGATCAAATCAAATCTTATACTCTCCAGTCCTATTACATACACACAATATATAATATTCCATTGTGATTTAATTTCCATAAAAGTTGTGAGAAATGAGCCAATTCCTTCATCTTTATTGTACAAATGATTTTAATTGTAAAAAGTTATATATTTTCTAAAACATTAAACCTTTATTCTACCTTCTGGAGACAAAAATTCATAAGCAACTTACTACCTGAAAGCTGTCATTTCCACTAATTTCAAAATTTTAATCTAATTTCTTCACATAAATAGCATATGCCCATAATATAACAGTAAGGTATGACAAGACATTATACTAGAAATAATGTGTTTGCTTTGCATGTAGCCCTGATTCAATGCCTGCATTACATATGGTCCACCAACCCCTCCAGAAGTAATCTTGAGCTCAGAGCCAGGAGTAAGCCCTTAGGACTACCATGTGTGGTCCAAAATCCTCAACTATAAACAAATAAATGAAATTAAATATTATAACACATAAATGTAGATATAGTTTTTTTAAATTAAAACAAAAATTTATGTTAGCTTAAAATTTTCACCATTGTCTTGTTTGCACATATCAGTTTGGATGAATGTGGTTTGGTACTGCACATTTTGCTATTATACTTGTTTTTCTTATTGGGTTATATCTCTCTCTATATCAATAAATATTATATATCAATAGCATAATTTTATGGTGAATATCATTCTGTTTTATTAATATATGAAATTATGCCTGGTTAATCCTAAATCATAATTTTATTATTTAACACTTCATCTTTATATTTTATAAAAATTTTTAATGGCTAATATTTTACCTAAAACTTAACTTTTTCATTTATTTACTGTATTTAAATTTATTTTTTGGTTCCGAGGCTACACCAAGTAATATTCAGGTATAACTCCTGACTATATTCTCAGGGACCACTGCTGTCATTACTCAGGGGACCACCATATTGGAATGCTGAGGATCAAACTTATGTAGACCACCCCAAGGCAAGCACACTACCAACTGCACTATTGATCTCATCCCATACCTAAAACATTTTTCAACTTTAAATTATTTCTTTAAGATACATATGTAGTACAGTATTTGGGTTAAAGAATTACACTTTTCCAAGTTTTTGAGAAGAATAATCCTTTCAAAATGTTCCTCCAATCTTTTATCGAATCACATGGCATATCTTGCAGACTATATGCTAGCCTAGCCATAGCTAATCATCCAGCATTTGAATAGTCTATACAGAAATTTTATAAATTTGGCTCTAGTAAAAGTTAATTTAGTAGTATGAGTTCAAAGCCTTAGCATTTATTTCAACATATATTTTTAATTCCTAAGAGCTCATTTCCAAATATGCTTTCATTCCCTTGCTAATATGTTAACCCTACTTACTGTGTGGAAGGTATTTATTTAACCAGTAATTATTTCTCTGTAACTGAGAGGGCACAGTCTGATTTTTTTAACTTCCACCTTTTAAGAATATATATTTAAATTGGGAATAATACAGATTTACTGTAAAAAATATAATCTCATTATTTGCCATTTAGTATGGTGTCCATAATTATTTTTTCAGTTGGGATGGGATTGTGACAAGGGATGGGGTTATAATATGAACCACATGCAGGATTATAACATGAACCACATGTAGGTTTCAGAGCATGTAAGCATGAAAACTAAAACCTGAGTAAGATCACAGGACCCAGAGCTCTCTCTTCTCATATTGTAAATACCAGTCCTATAGCAGGGATATAGCTCAGTGATAAAGTTCAAGCCTTGTATGTATGAGGTCCTGGGTGGTCCTAGAAAAGAATTTTATTCCTGATCTTAGAAAAAAATCTAGTCTTGGGGCTGGAACAGTAGCACAGCAGGGCATTGTAGGGCATTTGCCTTGCACATGGTCGAACTGGGTTTGATTCCCAACATCCTATTTGGTCCCCTGAGCACCTCCGGAGTAATTCCTAAGTGCATGAGCCAGAAGTAACCCCTGTGTATCACTGGGTGTGACCCAAAAAGAAAAAAAATCTAGTCTTGCTTCTCATTCAATTTTGATAATACATGGTCTACAGATGTTTCCTGATGTGAATGGGGTGAATGGTAATCTCTCTCCATAGTTATTCTTAATAGTAAAAACTGAATACTTAAGATATACAGTAAGTAGAGAAAAATTATATAACATTTCTTATACTACCTGCAGAGTATTATATAGATATTCTTCTACCTCACCAACACCCTAAAATGATCTTTTCATAAACTTCTTAAATATTATCAGGACTAGTAGCATACAAGTCAGCAAGTTAGCCATCCCATTCTTGTATTATGTTAGTGGTTGAATTATTATTTCATACCTGGTAGTTAAATTACCATTCTATAATATTTTCTCATATTAATCCATTGGTATAATCAGTTCAACTCAACTCAATTCAATTTAAGGGGTATTTCTTTTCTTTTTTTGTGTGTTTTGGGTCACAATCAGCGATGCACAGGGCTCACTCCTGACTCTGT